GCCGCTGCCATCCGCAGCCGCACGGTGACACTGCAGCACAAGTTTCCGAAACCGGCCCCGCCGTGCTCCGTGGGGAGGAAATGCCGCTGCTGTAATTAGCCAGGCCTCTCAGCGGCGCCCTGCAGTGAACTGCTCCGCTAACGCGGCTCGGTGTTCATGCGTGTGAGGCGCCAAGCAGCAAATGCTGCTGCACAAACGTTCACGGGCATCAGCACAAAGCATCCGCTCACTCCTCGTGTTTAACCGAACCATCAGCTTCCACTTGTGTATCAGAAGATGACGACTCCCAGTTATCCTCGGATGTGTCTGCAATCATCTGAGACTAAGCCGTTTATGCAAGTCCTAGCTTCAGTGGTTCACTGAACCAAAGGAGAGCAGGATTTAATGGGTTTTAATCTCACTGCTCCATGCCCTGAAGAACACTAAGGTCCCAGCTCTCAGTGAGGGCAAGGGGAGTTGGTGGCGCTCAACATGACACAGAATTCTGAATTCCTTCTTTCTTTCTCTGCCCTAGAACATTTTTAAATAAGCTGCTCTCTTTCCTGCAGTGCATGGAAAAAGTACATTCCTAAGGCAAGCTTACACAGAAATACTTGAAATGACAACAGCTGCTGAGCCCGCCCCCATCACTTTTACACTTTTCTGGTGAAACTTTTTAAATGCCTCCCTTGATAAGGAATAAAAATCTGAGTCACTCTTTGCTCTTGATACAGAGTAGCAAGTCACTTTTATTTCCCAATAAAGCTATCACACTTTCAGTCCCCTTTGCTAAAGCTGAGCTGAAGTTTCAATCTGGAAACGTGACACTATTTCCAGATTTAATCACGAGTGCTGTAGAAAGTCTTCTGTAAAACAAACAAAGCTCAGTTATGAGTGATTTTAAAGTTTCAGTTTTACAGACTTCCTATGCCATCATTCACTTGAGCAATATAAAAAAATCACATTGCAAGTCATATAATCCTCATCATTACCATATACTTACTTTATTTCAAGACTAGAGTCCTGTAATTCAAAACTAGACAAACCCCCTATTTCTCACTTTGGCGCTTTCTCTCTTTAATTTACCAAGAGAGGAAAGTTTAACAGGGAGAAGTAATACCTCATTTACTGGAGCAAGTAGTAAAAGGACAGACTGAACACAACTGCCTTCAGTTTCACTTAATTGGACTGCATGGAAATGATACTGCTTAGGAACTGAAAAGCAGAGGGGGATGTCAGCAAAGAGACAAGTGTTAAGATTCACAGTCTGTCTGGGACAGGGTGAGGAAAGAGACTTCCTGCCTGTGGATTAGTGCAAGCTCAGCTGGATGTATTCTCTGGCATGATTATATCAAGCCTTCAACTGAATATGCCATTTTTACTATGGAGAAAAAATAATTTTACTTCTTGTCTTCTGAAACTATTCTTTAAGTCTCCATCCAGTGTTGGAGCAGACAGACCTGAGACAGAGTAGCTGTTCTGTGAAATCTTTTCTGCTGATCTCTGCTTACAGTAGGGAAGGTACTGCACTGTTCATAGTAGCAGAATTTGAGAGGCACAATACATGTTACTCGGAGTCAAGAGAGTGAAAACGTGCTGGCTCTGAAGCAATGCTTGCTTGTGAGAACTTCATGAGTACCCACTGCATGATGGAATCTGAAAAGCGTTGTGATATTCTATTAGCTTTTCTAGACACACTTCCTCTGCAAAATATCCCATTAACCCAATGTAGAATAATCTTGAACTATTAATTCTATTCTAAAGTTCTGAAATTCTGCAGTACCTTTTTCTCCATGGCTTGATTATTGTTCCATCCTAGTATTTTTCAAAGATGTCAAACATAGACATTTGATCTAGAAAAATAAGCAACAGTCATATCAGAGGAGAATTTAACATTATATTCATCATGCAATCATATTTAGTAGGGAGGCAACTGGGCCCCTTTGTTGGGATGGAAAGTTATCTAGAGCTTCATCTCTGATGCAGCTGAGATATAATCACACTACTTGATTAGCAGGAACAATATCACCCTTCCGCAAATAAGGACAGTAACTGAAGACCTTCCATTATTTTAGCTTAAAATTAATGGCTTAAGTCATGGTTATTATTTTGCTAAAACTCAAGCAGACTATAGGCAATGAATCTGGTCTGTGTGGATGTGAGCATAAATAGTCAATGGCATTAACGAATTCCACGCTTTCCAGAGAAAGCGTACCTATGGCCAGCATTTCAAGAAGCTATGGAATCCAGCAATGGGCACTGGGACCCCAGGCAGTGTGGAAATAAGTAGTGGATCTGTAGGTAGGGCCCTCTGCATGTAGGAGGCAGAGTCCAACATGTCACTTCTCACCTCATGTTTCTGAAGGGTTGGAAGCGGCAGAAGAATGTTGCAATGGGCACAGGTCACCAGCATGTCAAAGGACTGGGTGTCTTTAGGAGCTTGAGGTGATGTGTAAAGTCCGCCTCTTGTGGGAGAGGGAGAGCCAATCTTTTTGTTCTTTGGGGGTTTAAGCAAGGTTTTGGAGGTCAAAGGCTGGTCTCTGTTTTTCCCTTTGGGGCGGACATCTTTCCACGCCATTGCATTCTCAGAGGAGGAAGAGGGAGCCAGGGAGGAAGAAGACTGTGGTGGGTCACTGCTGAGTTTTGAAGCTGACTGGCCACCAAGATCTTTTGTCAGCTTATGGGCTGGACTGCATTTATTCTGTTAAAAGAGAGCATACATAACAAGGTGAAGATTGGCATTACGTCCAGCTGCGTGGCATGTTGTGATTTGCGACAGATGTGAGTCACGGGGAGAGACAGTGGACACCAGTTCACAGTGATGCTTCAGCTGCATACATTGTGTCATGAAGCTATAGTTGGACGAGCCAAGACACACTGCCATTTCTTACCCAATATATAGCTTTTCAGAGAAATAACCTGTCTGGAAATTAAGCACAGACCATTCTCTGGTTCAGTTTCAAATGTACTTACCAGATGTTGGGAGTACTGATCATCTGGGAATGACTTACTGCACTTCTGACAAAGCTTGTCACCAGTACCTTCAAAAGGAAAGAAAAATTGAGAGAAACACAGTACTGACATTAGTCATCTGCTGCTCTGATCCACTTACAGTTACTGGTTCTAGAGAAACACAGAATGCTGATTCCACTGGCCAAGAAGGAATTAGAGCTGTGACTACATTTTGCTTTTGGCACCACTTGAAACCAATCCACCATCCCTTCTCGCAAACTTCAGGATATTTGGAATTTGACTCCAGACCCATGTTTTGTGGGTCAAGATGCTTCACCCCTATCCTGGCCTAGCTAATTCTGTTGTTAGGGGGTTTTGCTCTCTACAGTTTATTTTGCCAACCACTGCACCTACTGATGCCTGTTCTTTTCTAGAATCATTGACAGGATTAATGAATTTTTTGTCTTGACATACTCTGTCCAATACCTCAGGCCTAATAAGGCTGCTCTCAACTTTAAGAAATCAAGGTATGCATCCCTAGCTTTAAATATGAAGTAAGGAGAAATTCTAAATCATATTTTCTCCCGTGCAAAACACAGAAAGAGGAAGAAGTTCCACTTATTTTCTGACAGAAGAAATTTCACTTCCAGGATATAAGGGAGGCGTAAAAGAACACAGCCAATGAGCTACCAGTCAGTGGAACCACTCTGGCTTTACAATAACCAGCACAATAGATAGCAACACTTGGCCTTTCACTGTGGTTGGTTAAACAACAATCCCCTCCAGCCTGGATAACTGAGAATTGTAGAGAAGACAGGAGAATTTTCATTGAGATTTAACAGAGTTGACCCAGTCCATGACAATGAGGAATTTTTCTTACCAGTCGGGCAAATAAATGTTGCATTAGTGGATGTTTCACTGGTTTGAAAGTTCACATCCTTATGACAGAACAGACCACTGTTCTGACAAATATCTTTGTGTTTGTTCTGGTCTTTGTACATGATGTATTTGTTACACTCCCAACACCACTCTGTTCGGCTGGCACAGGTGTTCAGGTGTTCCTGCAGCTTGTCAAAGGGCATTTCAAGCTCACAGATCTTGCATTTCATTGCCCGTTTGTGGCATTCATTGGTCTGCGTATGAATAGAGGAAATTATTGCAAATTTTCTATCAGTACTGAAAGAAGGCATTGGGTGAGAGCAACAAGTGACTCTTTAAGAATGCCCTCCTTAAGGGGTATCTACACAACTAAATGCACGTTTAGCTGTATTAGGAGTTCACCTATCTAGGCTATCTGTAATTTAGGATGATTTCGGCAATATAAGGCAAAATGGGAATCAATAGCAGTGAAGATGTTCTGTGTCAGTACAGGTTAGCAACAGAGCAGAAGCCCACCTGGAGAATTCCAATACTTCAGCCACCACCACCAGAGGAAGCCTGCTCTGTCTTCACTGCTTTGGTTCCTTAAAGTGGCTAGACTACAGCTAGCATGGACCGGCTCTGAGAATCTTTTTGTGTATCTCCTCCTAAGCTGTTTCCTTGACTCTCACTTTGTACAACCACTCCTTTGGAAAAGCAAGTAATACGCGTGAGGGGGCAGGATGGAAATGTCTTTGAGAAGCCCTCTAAGAACAACACCTTGAGGTGCCAAGGATGAGAAAGTAATAGATTATGTCCTGGAACAGACTGCCCCATCACAATCGGATGGGCAACCACCATAGGATATATTTATTTACAAGGTGAAAAGGTATGCCAAAACATTGCCGCTGTTGAGAGGTTTAAGTTTCTTCATGGTCCAGGACAGGAGCCAGGGATTTACATGTTGTTGCTGTTGAACCCACTAGTGTGATTCGTGGTGGCTGGTCGAAGGGGTCAGCCTAGAGGGTAAAATGTACTGCACTTCATACTCACCTCATGATGCTCCAACTGGTATTGCTGCATGCTTTGGTGACAAAGATTGCATCTGACCTGCAAGCAAAACATACAGCAGTTCATGGGGAGCATAGGAGGATGGTTAGTGCTTTCATATGTCAATACAACTTATCTACTGCTGAGAGGATCTTACTGTCATTTCATCACAATCACCGACAAGCTGCTGGTGAATTTTTGTTACTCTGTCAGGCCTGAGCTGAGCTTTTGAGGAAAACAGATATCTGATGATTCTGCAGGAAGCTGTAATTCTGTGAGAGGATCAAGGGGCCCACGTGAAATGCAAAGTGTGATGCGAAATAAAAGTGTGTATTCAAAATTTTGACTTTATACTTAAAAGTATAGGTCTGATATTCAGGTAGTCTAAATTATAATAGCACCTCTGAAAACACAGGAGGTATGCTAGTTTTCTACAGGTTTGCCACAAGAGCTACTTGTGTGTTAAGTAACTGAAATAAATGGAATTGATAAAACAATAAAACTAGTAAGACAGAATAAAAAGTCATGCCTGTGTATTCATGCTTCAGTATAGTGCCTCTAGCTACAGGGTTCTTAATGCTATATTAAAAACGCTATTGTCTCACTATATTAAGAGCTGATAAATTCACTCTGCCAGGTCAGTTTCGTTAAAAAAGTACATTGAAGCCATAGCTTTGTATAAATAAGGTTTATGTTGGATCAGGTATTGTCTGTCTTCCTCTAATCATATCATTTAACCTGCACGCTCTGGCTAATTCACAAATACTAGGAGCATGTATCCATACCTGATTTGCAATTTGTATTGTTGGGGAAACTGATACCACAGTGTAAGCTTTATTATCTTAAACTGAGTGTGCAATAAGATCAAAAGGTGCTGTAGCTAGGCCTGAAGGTTCATATCAAACCCTTACAGATTTTCTGGTCAAACAATTACAGGAGTTCAAATCTAGTTAGTATAGAGCACAGTGCCACGAACATACTACTTCAGGGCTGGCAGAGCTTTTTGCTATTTGCAAGAAAACCCTGAAGAAGGTGGAGCATTCCTCACCTGCTTGTGTGCTTCTGTTTGATGGTCTTTCATATCCTTTTGGGCAACTGGTTCATCACATTCGGGACAGAGAGTGAGAAACCGCAAGCAGTGGGCCTCATGGAGGGAGAAATTGGCAGCAGACACATCTCGTTTACTTCCAAGCACATAAATGGGAAAGAGAGAAGAGTAAAGGAACTTGTTTCAGGAGAAGCTCCTGCTGTTGTTTACATTGTTTACAGAAGTGGAAAGAAAAGAAGGGCCCTCTTCTGGGGGTCACCCGAGGACTCACAAAATTTACTTCTCTTTGGCTTCCAACAGAACAATCTAAGGCAGCCCAGCCAGTTCAGCTGCTCTGTTCAGATGAAGGCTGCCCCTGAGCTGAGATACACAGATGTCACCATGCTCAGAGGGTCCAGGAAGAGCCACTTAAGTGGCCTCAAGGAAATGTGCTTTAGACATGAGGAGAAGCTTCTCATGATCATGATGGAATGGATTTCCTGTGGAAATGTGTCATCTCTGTCACCCGAGTTTTAAGAATTGGTCAGAGGCATCTATTGGAAGTCTTAAGCAAAGTAGGTCTGCCAAGGAGTCTGATCAGTGTGCAGCAACTGCTTTACTCAAAGCATTCCCTACAACCTTCTAGATCATGATGCACAGTCTCTCTTTGTGCAAAGCTAAGCATTGGTTTTCCTTTCTGACCAAATAAAATTGAGGCTAAGCTCATGTTTAACCTTTCAAAGTTTGACTCTTTTTTTAAATTGTAGTGCTTCACAGTCTTTGTTCATATAATCTGCCCAATGGCCTAGCTACTTGTTGAGACACACCAAGCTACGCTATCCTCATGGCCCCTTTCAGCCTTCTATTCTACGAGAGATGGCAAATTACCCTGAAAAAAATGAGTATTTTATCATTTAACTGCAAATACAGCACCAGTTGGCACGGTCCATGCACAGACTCTACCAGATACTGCAAAACTACCCACAGCGATATTATGTAAAACAATGCAGCGAAGGTGAGGGCTACAGAAGAAACCTCTCCACAGAAAAGTAGCAAGAAAGCAGCAACCTGGAAATGTGAAAAAGCGTACAAAATATTTTTGTTTGTTATTCAATGGCTAGCATACACCCCTCCTGTCGTGTGGTTCTTCCTCTTTTCCCCCTGTTACAGGAGACCTAGATAACATTAAGGAAAATCCTACAAAACTCTTTAAATCCCCACACTTTGTAAGGGTGAAGAGGGAGAAAGATCTCTTACCAATTTTTGCAGAACCTGCTCTCTTCTGTCATGATTTCTCTTTTTATTCTGCTGGATATCCTTTTTCCTAAGATCAGAGAGGAAAAAAATAAACGAAACTGAAAGCCTCTGTTGCAATAACTCCACCCCCAAACAGCTGCTTAGAAAAAAATTCTTTAAAGGAGAAAGAGCAGCATTGCCAGACAACCGTTAGCTGTCAGTGGAAGTTCCACATACAGGGCGGACCGTCCTGCAGCAGCTGGGGACAGGGCTGTTCTCCTGCCCCACCGCAGCAGGGCAGCCTGACCTGGCCAACCTCTGCCCCAGCACCCGGGTCAGGCTGGACGGGCTCCGAGCAGCCTGGTCTGTGGAAGATGTCCCAGCCCATGGCAGGGGCTTGGACTAGATGACCTGTAAAGGTCCCTTCCAACCCAAACCATTCTGTGATTCTATGATTCTATGTCTGCACCCTCCTGCCCACCGCAGACGGCTGTCGAGGAGCCGAGCGAGCCCGTGGCTCCCCCAGGAGGGCAGCACAGGCTGTGCCCCTGCCCGCCAGCACCTGTCGGAAACTCAGCCTCACACGGCCGCTTGCTCACTGCCCGCGGTGGGATGGGGGAGAGAATCAAAGAGTGAGAAAAGTGAGAAAACTCATGGTTTGAGATAAAGACAGTCTAATAAGCAAAGCAAAAGCCGTGTACCAAGCAAAGCAAAGCAACGAATTCACTCACCGCTTTTTTTGGGCGGGTGTTCAGCCGTCCCCAGGACAGCTGGGCTCTGTCAGACGTAATGGCGACTCAGGAAGACAAGCGGCATCACTCCAAACATCCGCACCTTCCTTCTTTCTCCCACAGCTCTACATGCTGGGCACGACGCCCTGTGGTGTGTGTGTCCCTCTGGTCAAGGGGGTCAGCTGTCCGGGCTGGGTCCCCTCCCAGCTCCCTGTGCACCCCCGGCCTGCTCACGGCTGGGGG